TTTTTACCGATGGTTCAACCCAACCTCATGCGTTTGTTCCAGTTAGTACCTGGGCTGTTGTCCTTGCGGATGGACAGCGCAACTGTGGAGAGAGGCATGCGTCCAGGACGACAAAGCAATTTCGGTGCTGAGATGCATCCTGCTGTTGTTGCAGTACAGACCGCGTCTTCTGCCACCTTGTATTCCGATAATTGGGCTTTAGGCTTTTGCTGGCTAGAGGTTGGGTTCACTCGCACTTTTTGCAAAACGCTGAGACATCCTTGTGGTGGGATATTTGGCAAAAACTTGCTCCAAAACGGACTGCGGCTCGCAAAGCTGGGAGTGTGCGCTCCTGCGGGGACGTGATTTGTACGTCGCCTAGGAACACGTACAAACCTCCTCGTCGTAGTACAGGTGGCGGCTGGCTTTGGCTTGTCCGTAAAACAGGAAAGCGAACGGCAGCACACCGGTAACGGGGGCAGCAAACCGGTAAAGGGGGCATGTGCCCGATGCGCCTTGAGCATGCTCGCACGGGATATGTGGTCGTAGTCCCCCACGCCGTCGATGCTCAGCACCGTCGTCCCGGGGTCAGTTTCGGTCGCCGTTTGCAGTGCGCGGACGATTGCCTCGAGCAGTATGACAAGCTGCTGAAAATGAGGGCCGCCATCAAGCGCAAAGGACTTGGACGAGATGAACGAGGAACGCTCCTCGTCTTTCTCATCGGGGTCACCATTGCGACAGCGATAAGGATGAACCCGGCGATGGAAACAAGGCGGTTGTGCCCCTCCATGCAAGGCAGGTGTTCCTTCTTCGAACCCACCCCCTCCCCTCCTTAACTCCTGAGCACAACGGTTACCGGAACGCCGCTGGAGAACTTTACCCTGGCTTCCCCCGTGGTCACGATAAGTTTTGTCTTGCGTGCGAGCAACTCCGCAAGGGCATGGCCCGTGCCACAGTGTCACCAGAAGCCTGCGTGCGAGTGGGCACTCTTGCAAGCAAAGCGTGACTTTACTGTTTTGCTGAGCGTTGGCAGCGGCAGCGCTGCCACAATGATGCTGTTGATGAGGCAGCAATACCTTTGTATCGAGAGCTGCCACACAAGGTAGCCAACGTTCTTCGAAAAGCCCGACAGGCTTATGCGGAATATGTTAAAGTTGCAGAACTTCTTGTTTTCACTGCAAGAAGCTACTTGTGCAGCAGATCTTGCTGTGTCTTCGCATGCATCTATTCAACACGGTTTAGTTGTAGGTTTTGTTTTCCAGCCGCAAGACGTTCCGGATGCTTTGCTAGGACCTCGATTCTTGCGGGTAGTTCAGGCCTGGATGAAACGAGGCACTTGGGTAGAGTCTTCTGAATGGGTTTCCATCTTGAGCTTCATTGGCATTTTGTAGTGTCCACAGGATGGCTGGCCCCAGTCGGCCTGGCAGCATGGAATATTGGCAGTTTGCCTCCGGCCTTACAGACGGGCTCCGCGCCGTAGGCGTTCATCTGCGAAGCTGATCACGCTTCTCTGGCCCTGAGCAGGCCACCGCTTCGCAAACAAGCAACAGTTTTCTTGCATGCGTTTAAAGACGTATGCAAACGGTTTGATCTTGAAACTAAGATCAAAGATCGGAAAACGTTAGATTCTACAGCTTTTTGTGTGTGCAGTGCCAGTGGCTTCAACGTGTGTTGTGCGGAGGGATATCCGGCAAGCACCACATGAGCTATTTCATAGGGTTTTTCATGGTATGGAGTACCCCGCCATCACTCGGCTATGATTTGTGCACCTGTACAGGCACTGCATTGTCCTGTTCCATTGCGTAGTTCTATTGCGGCCTGGAATTGTTATACAAAGTTGACAAAAGCAGCGCGCAAGTGGCGCAATGCTTAAATTTGTAGAAAACAATGTATGTCGCCCTATGAAACATCTTGGCGTGCTTCTCGCTTGGATGGTCCGCAGACTTGCATGAACCCCTAGACGCCTAAAAACCTGGAAAGCCAGCCGTTTTGTGATGACCCGAGGGTTTCGAAGTTGGGCTTTAAAACGACGGGCCAAATGCCACACATCGGATAGCGAGCTTTAAGGTTTAGTTTAGGGTTTAGGGTAAACCTGAGCCTTAACCCAAACGAGTTTAGAGGTTAATGTCTAATGTAGCCCCCTGATGAATAAGCACCCTTTCTTTGGATCCTGGTTGCAATCCCTATGCAGGGAGGGGGCTGTCAATCAGCGGCCTACATCCATGGTGTAGGGGCTTCAGGCTTCAGTGTTTAGGGTTCAATACCTGGTCTGAACCATTAGTATGAATATTCCCTCGAAGCTCCTATATTGTGATAGTATAATATACCCCAACGCAATACTTTAATTACCTTTAATTATTCATGGCCCTATATCCTAGATCAGTCTGCACTATGGCACTATGCCCCAATTCCTAACCAACATAACAGGCAGCCTCACTGTGGCACCATGGAAGTTGATGACATGAGATGAGTGCTATTAGAGCTATGGTTTACTCATGAGTTACCAATATGAGCAGTTTTGGCACGATGACAGACCTAAAAATGCAAAGCTCAAGCGAAATCCGCTACGAGGTTCGTTGCCTTCATGTCGGCTGCCCAGCACGCCTTCACGGCCTCATTGTTGTGTATATGCCTGGTCTTTTGGGGGCATTCACAAGACCCGAATATCACGAATTCGGGTGGTTCTCAGCCCAGATTTACAAAGATTCCTCAGCATGGTGCCATCAAGGTTTCCCCTATGAAATCCTGATGTACACTGATTAATACCCAGCGTCCCACTCGGGCTTTCATGGGTGCCTAGCAGCCAGGTATTCTTGAAGGGATGGGAGGACAGCAAGCCCTTGTACAAAAACAGCGGTAAGCACGCCAAACAACACCCTGAAACATATCAAAGACACTTCTCAAAATCGTGGCGCTGTTCATGTTGGCTCCGAGGACTTTAACTGTTTGAGTTTCTGCATGAATTGCAATGAGGAGGCTGAGCCTTGGGCTTGGAAGGGCCAGTCTGGTTTTTACAACAAGGTTCAAAACCCTAAGCCCTAAACCTAGCAAGGAACCTCGAGCTGCTCCTGTACCTCGGGCTGGTGGCCATTAAGCTCCCGCTGCTCTGCAAGCTCCAGGCCCGAGCTTGGGGTTGATCCCGGCGCCCTCATGGGTATGAAAAGACTATGTCAAGGGTTGTCATCTGGGGTGTATGAGGGCTAGGGCGGTTTGTAAAGTTTCGTTTTTTCTTGTTTTTTGCAAGATGTTTGAGGTGTCTCGGAAGATTTGACACGGGTCTTAAAAACGCTTGCAAGGGGCTTTTCCAGGCGGCTTGGGAGTTTCTTGGAGAGCCCTTCGGGGGCTAGGGTTGACAGCCTTTGCGTCTAGCTGCCACAGCTGTACATGAGGACTTTATGAGGGTTGTAGGGTTCCTTTAAGGATTCCCATCTGTAGGGTTTGGGTTGCGTACGATTTTTTTCTGGATCTTGCTGTGGGCTTTAGCTTTCAGTTTCAGGGCTTGGAGGCTATCATGCGGTTTAGGGCTTAGGGTTCTTAGGATTTTGGGGTTTAGGGTTTAGGGTTTAGGGGTTTAGGGGTTTTGGGTTGTTTAGGGTTCATTAGGGTTCATTAGGGTTCAGGGTTTACGGGTGTTAGTCCCAGGTTTGGGGTCTTGAGTCGAGGCTTTCGCCTGGATCTTACAGTGCCTAAACATTTCGGCCCTTCATGATGATTTCAGTATATCTCTAAACCCTAAACCTTAAACCTTAAGCCCCAAACCTCAGCTTTGCGCCCACACCCGCCACCCCAATCCTGGGAACCCTCAGCCCCAGGCTTGCCCTAAACCTTAAACTCTAAACCCTAAACCCTAAACCCTAAAGCCCGAAACCCTAAAGCCCTAAACCCTAAACCCCTAATCCCTAAACCCTGAAACCCGCCCTAAACCCTAAAACCCTAAACCCTAAAACCCTAAACCCTAAAGTCGTAAACCCTAAAACCCTAAAGCCTAAACCCTAAACCCACTATAGTTACCCTTTAAAGATCCCTTTAAAGGAACCATATACTATATTTATACTATATTACCCTAAAGCCCTAAAGCCCTAAAGCCCTGATGGCCAGGCAGAGTTCATGCCGAACCTCGGCATGGAGTGGGGGCCCTGGCAGCTTTTTCACCGAAGCGAAGGGCCTTCCGCCATTCCTGGGAGGACGGAATAGGTAAGCATTAGGGTTTAGGGTTTAGGGTTTAGGTTTAGCGCTTTAGGGTTTTAGGGTTCAGGGTTTAGGGATTATTCCTTAGGGTCCTTATTCTAATTATGGTATACTGGGCCCCTAAACCCTATTCTAAGTATGATCGGGCTTCTAGAGTAGGGCCTTCGGAGGGCTGTCATGGTTTGGCATGAGAGCATTTAGAGGGTCAAGGGCCCGGGGTTTGGAGTTTAGGGTTTAGGGTTTAGGGTCAAGGGCCCGGGGTTTGGAGTGAGCCATGAATCCCCGAACACCAACCACCCTGAAATCCTGAGAAGCCAAGAAGCCTTTCACCCGTGGCGCCGAGGTGCGAGGTTCAGCGGTTTATGTTCTTGCAGCGCTCGCTTTTCCTGACGGTGGCGGTGCGCTTTGGGAATCGGTTTAAGGGAGGCTTCAGAGTTTAGGATTCGAGGATTCAGGAAGGGTTTATTATCGGGTTAGGGAGGTTCAGGGAAAGTTTGGGGATCTCAGGATGTTCAGGGGTTGTAAACGGGTAGTAGGGCACCGTTGCTTCGCGTGTCGGGCTTCAAAGTAGAGGGTTTAGGAGCTCGAGGATCATGGTCTGGTTTAGGGCCTTCAGGGTTTAGAGTTCAAGGGTCCCGGGTTTCAGGGTTTATGTAGAACTTCAGTGTGTCGGGTTCAGGAGTACTTAGGATTCTTTATTGCTCCAGTCCACCTTTGGCACGCGGTGAGTCCGTTTGGTTTTGATCCTGGGCTTGTCGTGACCTGAGCTATAGTCGCTATCACTCGCATCCCCATATCGACTCCTATGTCCCTTTTTTGACATGGCTCTAAAAGAAGAATAACTTTGACTGCAGCTGGCATGCGATCTTGGAATCTTCTAACAGGGCCTGCAGAGCATCGCAGGCAAACCTAGATATCCGTGGATGTTTAGGGTTTAGGGTTTAGGGTTCAGGGTTTAGAGTTTAGGGTTTAGGGTTTAGGGTTCAGGTTTTAGAGTTTAGGGTTTAGGGTTTCGGGATTCGTGGATGTAAGTCTAAGCAGCTGGAGGCAGCGCATGGTCTCCTTGAGGAGACTCCGAAGCCCCTGAAACCCGGTGTAACGTAGGAAGCTGATTAAGAAACCCTGGTCGTAGAACCCATTAGACTTCATATAAAGAACCCTACTAAAGGCCCAAAATTGTGAATATTAGGATTCATATAAAGAACCCTATTAAAGGCCCAGAATTGTGAATTCTTGATCTTAGCCAGCCGTCGCCAACAGGCGTCCCTGGGCATCTGGGTCTTCTCCTCCTATGCATTCAGCCTGACGTTTGGGAAGCTTGGGTGCGCATGTCAAGCGTTTGGGGGGGCAGGGGTACCCTGAATCCGCTAGCCCTGAGCCCTATAAGCCCATAAGCCCCTAAACCCAAAACCCAAAACCCCAAACCCCAAACCCTAAACCCTATAAACCCATAAGCCCTCAACCCTAAACCCAACCCTATAGGCCCTAAACCCTCAACTCCAGTTAAACATCAGACCCTGTAGGCCCTGAGCCCTGGGACCATCATTGAACATCGCATCCTCGGCGAGTTTTTCTTGGGGTTTTGGATTTAGGGTTTAGGGTTTAGGGTGCAGCAGGCACATGGTTACTTCTCTATATCAGGGTCCCTTTGTTGTTTCCCCCAAAAGAGTACGGCACCCTTACAAAAAGGACCCTTCAAGGGACCGCTAAAGTCCTATAGAACCCTTAAAGGGACCCTAACTTAGAGAACTACCCATACCGACGGTCCCTTTGGTAACTTTGGAGCTTTCGCGCCTTCTGTTTCGATGTTTTTCGGTGCGTTTCGTTTAAGGTTTAGTGTTTCGGAGCCCGTGGCGTGTTTCGATCATGGCCTTAGCCGCCGGCCGAGGAATGTGGCCATGGATCAGTCTGGACCTCGGACAGCAGAAGGTAGCGCAGAGGCTTGACATAGGTCTTGGCTCCAGCAAATTGGTCTTATCCGTGTTGGTAGGGCTTGTTGCACGGTTGTGTTTCGGGTCTCATAGAGAGGCCGGAACACTTTCCTTTAGAGTTCCTGATCTCCTAACCCTGAGCCCTGAGCCCCATCGATAAAGTGAGGCCCGAGTTTGCAGATCAGCTCGACCTCCGGGATGCGGAGTTCACTGGGCAGAGCCTTGAATCATAGTCTTGGGTCTAGGGCCCTAAACCCCTAAACCCTACAAACCCTACACCCCTAAACCCTAAACCCTAAACCCCTAAACCCCAAACCCTGAACCCTGAACCCTGAACCCCTAGCGTGGGGCTTGGGGCTTGGGGAGTTCTGAGGGTTTGTTTGGCTTTAGAGAGGAAGCTGCCAGGGGTTCCTGGGGGCCCAAGCAAGCGCCGAAGCATGAGGATCCTGCTTAAAGCAGCGGAGCGTGAAGGGTCGGGTTTAGGGGTTTAGGGTTTAGGGTTTAGGGTTTGGGGGTTTAGGGGTTTACGGGTTTAAGGGTTCGGGGTTTAGGGGTGGGGAAGTCTAGAGGACCTCTGAAAGTTCAGATCCCTGTATTTCTTGTGGTCTTTCGGGTCCTTCGCGTCCGAATACGAGGGGTGCGGAAGGTTTGGGACGAGGCGTGCGGTCGAAGCACGGAGACAACCTGGGCTTCGACCCCGTTCGATCCTATCCCCTTAACTTCAAGCCTGAAGCCTCACGACTACTGCTACTACTACTAATTACTGCCACTCCTACTACTACTACTACTACTACTACTACTACTCCTCCTGCTGCTACTACTACTACTACTACTACTGCTAATTACTACTAAGTTACTACTACTACTACTACTACTACTACTACTGCTACTGCTACTGCTACTACTACTACTACTACTACTACTACTACTGCTACTACTGCTAATTACTACTAAGTTACTACTACTACTACTACTACTACTACTACTACGACTACGACTACGACTACGACTACGACTACTACTACTGCTACTACTGCTAATTACTACGTTACTACTACTACTACTACTACTACTACTACTACTGCTAGTTCCAGTGCTAGTTCCACAGAAAGGCATTAGCGTCGGCATGTATAATGGAGCTGCTCGGCGCGGCACTGTTCGAACCTCCGCGTGTATGCAATTGTCCACAAACAGGCCCGTTGCTTGGATCTGGGTCGGAACTGACAGTTATTGTAGGCTGCCTCATCGAATTTCAGCCAGGACATGTTCTGCTTCGGGATGATTACCCGTGCTGCAGGCATGTGTGTTTGCTGCATGTTGTGTACAGCATCTCTTTCGACACTGATGTCGCAGAAGTCTGAGGTTTTGATCGAGACACGAAAACCTAAACCGCCACGGCGTGTTCATACGACAACTTCGGGTTGGGTTTGTTGGCGCATGCACGGATGCGAAGTCCAAACGCAAACAGGATGTCCGCATTCCGTAGTGCCTGCGTTAGTGCATGATACTCGATGCAGGACGCATTGCTTCCACACAGCTGTACACTTTCATTGGTACGCCCGTACGAACTTTAGCTGTATTCCCGTGCCTCCGAACCCTAATGTAGGGGCCTTAATAATTGCGAATCACCAATACGATGTTGGGGGTTCCTTATTGTAGTTATAGTATAATGGGCTCCAGAACCCTCTTCTAATCATTAAGGCCCCCAAGACTAAACCTTCAACCTTGAAGCTGCTGCTTTGGAGGTGTTTTTATTTTTGGGGGCGGGGAGAAAGGAGGGGGGGCTCGTGGAGCTCACGGGATGCATCCGGGGGCGGTTTGGGGTTTAGGGGTTTAGGTTTTAGGGTCTCGCGGTTTAGGGGTTTATGGGTTTGGGCGTTTAGGGTTTAGGGTGTGTCACCTTCTTCATTTCAGGAGAAGGAGCCTGAGATAGAGTTAGGAATTTATGACACGAAGCTCCATGTAGTTTGCAGAAGCTTTTTCGTCTTGCAGAAGCTTCTTCGTCTTAATCCTTTATAGAATTCCAACTGCAATCCTTCAGGAGTCCTTATGAACCTTGCAATGCCCTATGGTATGTAACCCCAAGCCCAAACAGAACGCTTAACTATAAGAATCTTGACACATCTTCCAAAAACCCTTTTCCAGAAACCCATCAAAACAACCGAACTCCAAAATCCAAGCCCCAAATCCCCAAACCCCCAAACCCTA